GGAAATAGATTAAGAAATTGAAATTAGTTTTAGTTATAATTATCATAAACTGTATCAGTTCCATGCAAAAGAAGGATATTTTTAAAGGCAAACAGAAGAGGTCGGTCTGTTCTTTGAGAAAACTTTCGGACACTTTATTTTTAATGTTAAAAACGTTTTCTTTAGATTCCTTAGGGAATTCTAAACACCAGAACTTATGCATTAAAAATTACTTTCGTAAACGAATATTACAAATACTCAAATTAACCAAACAATATAATCCTTTAAGCACAATTCAAGTTTGAGTAAGAGTTCTCTCTCACGTTTCACTTCTTTCTTCATAAAAAAAGAAAGAAAATATATTGCATATTTATTTATTCATTAACTGATCCCAATATGAAAATTGAAATCTGGCATTTATTTTCCTTCCCATAGAATTTTTAATTTTTTTTTTCACAAAGATTTTCGTTCTTGAAATGGTTTGAAATTTGCAACTTTCTGAAAAGGTTAAAATATATTGATCTTTTAAATAATACTTATATATAGCTTTTATTAACCGTAAACAATAGGTGAACAATAGGAACGTGCATTAAATTTAATTTGACATTTTGAGTAGTATTATTTTCTAAAACTCTACCGACGTTCTGGTAGATTATGACAAGATACTTTGCCCTTTCCCTCTGAAAACATAGAAACAAATAACGCGGATAAACTGAACTTAGCCTGCCTTATTGTATTCCCCATCTAATAATTACAGAAACTTATACGATAAAAATCTTGGAACTTTATCTAAGACGTTTTTCTCTTTACTGCTATTCCCAAAGAATTAATTTTTCAATTTTGTGAGACTGGCTAGATGCTGTCTTTCTCTTCAACAAAAATATTTCACATTAAGCTCTTCAGGAGTAAATGAGAGTATTCAGATAAATATATAGCCAGTTCGTAAAATAAAATAAAAAATCAAATTTCAGTGAAAATGTCTTATCTGCTAATATATCTGTCATGATTTTATTAAGAGCTATACATAGTTTCAGTGAATAAAACGATTTATTATAATACTTAGTTTATTTGAGGAAGAGCATTATGAAAACGATTTATTATAATACTTAGTTTATTTGAGGAAGAGCATTGTGAAAACGATTTATTATAATACTTAGTTTATTTGAGGAAGAGCGTTGTGAAAACGATTTGTTATAATACTTATTTTATTTGAGGAAGAGCATTATGAAAACGATTTATTATAATACTTAGTTTATTTGAGGAAGAGCGTTGTGAAAACGATTTGTTATAATACTTAGTTTATTTGAGGAAGAGCATTATGAAAACGATTTGTTATAATACTTAGTTTATTTGAGGAAGAGCATTGTGAAAACGATTTATTATAATACGTAGTTTATTTGAGGAAGAGCATTGTGAAAAACGATTTATTATAATACTTAGTTTATTTGAGGAAGAGCATTGTGAAAACAATTTATTATAATACTTAGTTTATTTGAGGAAGAGCACTGTGAAAACGATTTATTATAATACTTAGTTTATTGAGGAAGAGCATTATGAAAACGATTTATAATAATACTTATTTTATTTGAGGAAGAGCATTATGAAAACGATTTATTATAATACTTAGTTTATTTGAGGAAGAGCATTGTGAAAACGATTTATTATAATACTTAGTTTATTTGAGGAAAATCGTTGTGAAAACGATTTACTTCAAGTATAAAACAGATTGTGTCCCACTCTTGTCATTAGAACCAAGTTCCAATAAAGCTTCTTTGTGGGAACTGAGTGAAATATCTCAAATACACATATTTACGTCCAAGGCTATTAAATACCATAATATGTGTATTTGAAATTCTTGTTAAATATTTCATTTGAAAAGAAAGTTACGTTTGGGCCGAGCATGGCCTAATGGTTAGTATGCCGGACTGCAAATGGAAAGGTCCGATGTTCGAGACATGTTGTCGCTGAACATGATACACACACTATTGACTGTAGGCGCGATATAAAAGTGATAGTCAGTCTCGGTATTCATTTCAAAGAGCGTAAAAAAAAAGGTCTTACTGGTGGCTGATTGCCTTACTTCTGGTCAGTAATTAAACGATTGTTGTATCTGGATCCTATGGGGGTTTAGTTCCCGTTCATATAAAATGCCTTTCAGGTTGAAAACTCCGTTTCCAAATTCCATTAAACGACCCGTTCTTCTTACTCGCACATGACAAACTGCTCTAAAGTGGTTTGTTAAATATACTACCAAACTTTCATTAGACGGTCTAACCATTGTAAATCATATGAAAAGTCGTGATTTTCTTACCTGTACGTAATATATCGCACTAAAGTCGTAAAGTGTAAAAAATAGTTGCACATACTGTGCTAAACACTAATCTAAGTCGATGTTTTTTCTACGTATACATGATATACCACACAAAATGTCCTATCCACGTGCATGTGTACACATCCTTTATTGAACTAAACATTTCTAGGAGTTTAAAACAGTTATTTGCTAGGAACATATATATATATTAATAGAAAGTAGTGTGCGTGTGCTTTCTTTTGTTGTTGTTGTTAGTATATGTTTCGCATATTAAACGTACATTGATGCTTAATTTGCTAATAAATAGCTATATCTCGTCCTTTATAGAGTGTTTCTGTTATGAAATTATTAACTGTGCTGCACTTATACTGTAAGGACATGATAGCAAATTTTTCATGTGGAGTTTGAAACTAATACACATATATATATTAAAATAATTATTTTAATTTGACCTAATCCCATAGGTCTGTATCACCACGTGATGCAACAATAACCTTTATTCTTTTGTGTACGCGTGTAAAAATAATACAAAGATTTACGACCAAGAGACGTTAGGCGTGTTCCAAAATAGCATCAACTAGATTAGATACCGATGGTAGTTGTAATGGGGTATTCAATATCCGACTCAGTGTCGCTCGTCCTCACATCGGGAGTCCAAACAATACCTACATTCTGAGAAATCAGATTTACCACATGATAACTATACATACCATCTGTGGTAAACCTCCTTCTCAGACAAGATCGCTCAGAGTTCAATATTGCTACTGGAAAAGAAGGAGGTTTACCACAGATGGTATGTATAGTTATAATGTTAGGTTTTAAATTATTGTTCAATATTGCTACTGGAAATCTGAGCGATCTTGTCTGAGAAGGAGGTTTACTACAGATGGTATGTATAGTTATCATGTTAGGTTTTAAATTATTGGTAAATATTGCTACTGGAAATCTATGCGATCTTGTCTGAGAAGGAGGTTTACTACAGATGGTATGTATAGTTATCATGTTAGGTTTTAAATTATTGGTAAATATTGCTACTGGAAATCTATGCGATTTTGTCTGAAAAGGAGATTTACCACAGATGGTATGTAAAGTTATATTGCTAAGTTTTAAATTATTCAGACAAAATCGCATAGATTTCCAGTAGCAATATTTACCAATAATTTAAAACCTAACATGATAACTATACATACCATCTGTAGTAAACCTCCTTCTCAGACAAGATCGCTCAGATTTTCAGTAGCAATATTGAACAATAATTTAAAACCTAACATGATGACTATACATACTATTTGTGGTAAACCTCCTTCTCAGACAAGATCGCACAGATTTCCAGTAGCAATATTGAGCAATAATTAAAAACCTAGCATTATAACTATACATACCATCTGTGGTAAACCTCCTTCTCAGACAAAATCGCATAGATTTCCAGTAGCAATATTTACCAATAATTTGAAACCTAACATGATAACTATACATACCATCTATGGTAAACCTCCTTCTCAGACAAGATTGCTCAGATTTTCAGTAGCAATATTTACCAATAATTTAAAACCTGACATGATAACTATACATACCATCTGTAGTAAACCTCCTTCTCAGACAAGATCGCACAGATTTCCAGTAGCAATATTTACCAATAATTAAAAACTTAACATGATAACTATACATACCATCTATGGTAAACCTCCTTCTCAGATAAGATCGCTCAGATTTCCAGTAGCAATATTGAACAATAATTTAAAACCTAGCATTATAACTATACATACCATTTGTGGTAAACCTCCTTCTCAGACAAGATCGCACAGATTTCCAGTAGCAATATTTACCAGTAATTTAAAACCTATTATTCAAAAATAAGATATATGTATTGAGATTAATTATCTCAGGTCACTTTATCAAAATCCAGGTTAACATTGTTTTGATTACCAAACTTTATGGATATTCATATAAAAATCCCACAACAAACTTATCACTCTGAGTAATAAAAACTTAAGCACGATAAATCATAAAGACCTTGAGAAATTATTTCTCTGCATGTTCACTCACATATAACTATGAATGTTATAGTAACAGAACTATGTAAAATAACTAATGATTCATACGCGATTAGAGACAACTTCTTATTCACAAATAAAGATAATATGAACTAGATTTTTACTTCTAGAGAATATTTTTTCCACATTTAAGAGAAAGTTTAAAAACATTTGTAAAAAAAATAACCCTTTACATTCAATCAAAAACAAAATTATTGTTTAATTTATTGTTACTGGAGTGGTTTCATACATTCTACAACTATTTTCGTTACATATTATTTTACAGTTTGTAGCAATCGACGTATGAAAGAAACAATATATGTATATATATAAAACACGAATCTATTAAAATGTTGCACGCCATGTATTACACTTAATTTGTATTTAGTTTTTATTGCTATAAACTAATATTAACTGTCCATTTAAAATGACACATAAGTAATCATCGCAATTATAAATATCTTCACAAATGGTTGAGCCATTAACTGATTTAGTTGGTAAGTGCTTGAGGACTTTACTTCCTTTTAGGAAAACTTTGGTAAAGAAAAAAAGCAAAATACACAGTCATTGCCAGCTGTTGTTGCAAAAGTATGAATATAGTCGATTGTCATATTATAGCTCATCTCAGTAGAATTCGTGGTATAAATTATTAAAGGGGCATATCACTCTGTGAATCAACAAAATTTATATTTAAAAAGGAAAAATATTCTTTCTTATTCATCTAGTTTTTCAATATCTAATAAATACCATAGATGTTTAAATATTTTCCCCAATTTGAAAAGTCAAAATACTTTGTTTCTTTGAATTAAGAAATCTTACATCCAGTATTTATGATAGGCTTATGGCAATGGGATATCAGTAATTGTTATTGTTAGATCCCTAAACGATCACCTAAGTCTAATTAATAAAAAGTTAATATACATATATGCATACATACGTGTATATTTTAATGGATTTTTAGGTGGTTGATGCATGTTAATTATAATCGTATTTTGTTGTGTTACTATACATATATACATACATACGTGTATATTCTAATGGATCTTTAGGTGGATGATGCATGTTAATTATAATTGTATTTTGTTGTGTTACTATACATATATACATACATACGTGTATATTCTAATGGATCTTTAGGTGGTTGATGCATGTTAATTATAATCGTATTTTGTTGTGTTACTATATATATATACATACATACGTGTATATTCTAATGGATCTTTAGGTGGTTGATGCATGTTAATTATAATCGTATTTTGTTGTGTTACTATACATATATATATATATATACATACGTGTATATTCTAATGGATCTTTAGGTGGTTGCAGCAGTGATATTGAAAATTTTCTTATGACGTAATTTCTCAATAACATATTCTTCCAAGGAAAAATAATTATGAAAATTCATCACTTAACTTTAGGAAATTTATCTGTAAGTTTGACAAACATCGGTCTCAAGGTTTGTCGTTTCATCAAATTTATATTTGAAGTCATTTATTTGCATATTGTATACTATTTACACATAAGACGTACCAAAAAGTGCGCTAATTAAAATAATATAGTTTGTTGGAAATTATACAAGCTCTTTTCAATTTGGTTTTGTTCGTATAATTTCAAGCTAAAAATACTATAACCCACATACTCGCGCGTGTTTATTCGTTTGCACATTCTCTACGGCATTCCATGTCTTTGAACTTGTTGGTTCTTTGCCCTCAGCGCAATATCCATACTAAGTCAGCCAACTAGAAGAGGGAAGATGAGACTACGGTTATTTCTAGGCAGACTCTCTGCTTGCCAACCTTTTTATTCCCTTTTATTTTATCTCCCTCTTTTTTTGAGTGGTTTCTATAGAAGAGCGTGAAAAACGTCTTTTCTCACAGGAACGTCTGTGAACTATATTAGCATGGGTCAAGGACAGTTGAAATATTGGATTCAGTGCAGTCTCCGTATTTTTATTTTAAGAAAGTGAAATATATTCAAGCTATGACTTGAAAAAACAAAAATATGCAAGATATATATCTCTCATAAAGCTATTTCAAACTAGATTTGATTATAGCTTTAGATTCTTAATTGATTATATTGGTAAGATATATATGGGATTATATTTTGAAGGTTATCAGATAATGTTTGAATTCTAACTATAATAGAAAATCTGTTCAGAAAACATAACTTGACATCATTTTATTTTTGTTCGAGATCAGTGAATCTCCCGGAAAGGATGTCGTTGGTTGACTCACTACGCATCTACAGTATTATTCAGTTTTTGACCGACATTTTCATAGGAAATTGAATGTTTTCCACGCTACTTTCAGCGAAAGACTCAAGTTTTAAATGTTTTCTATTGAAATAATATAGCACACAGCGAGATGCTGAAAGGAGATTAGGTACAGTAATACACTACGTGAAACACTGTACAAGATAGGTGCAGTAATACACTACGTGAAACACTGTACAAGATAGGTACAGTAATACACTACGTGAAACACTGTACAAGATAGGTGCAGTAATACACAAGGTGAAACGTTGTTAGGCATAATGTGTGCGTGATTGTAAATAGGAATAGTTTTTTCGTTTTTTTGTTTTTTTTGCAATTATCAATAACACATTTTCAGTACCTCACTATCACTAGTTAATATCTCGTGAATAAGAAAAAAAAAGTTTATAAATGTATACAGAGCATTCCTTAATAAGAGAAAAACGTGTATGAACGTACACATAACATTCCCTAATAAAAGAAAAACGTGTATAAACGTACACATAACATTCCCCAATAAAAGAAAAACGTGTATGAACGTACACATAACATTCCCTAATAAAAGAAAAACGTGCATGAACGTAGACATAACATTGCATAATAAAGAAAGACGTGTATGAACGTATACATAACATTCCCTTATAAAGAAAGACGTGTATGAACGTATACTCAACATCTTTCTTGGCTATTCCACCTCAATCGAATATTCAGTTATTTGATAACAAATATTATGTTTAACATAAGATAATTCTGTTATTATTTTGTACGTATTTGCACAAAACTGAGGCTGTATATATATATATATTATTTTCCTTCACCTTTAAACGTGAGTCGACGTATCAGATTTCTTCATCAGCATTGAAATGAAATTCAACGAGAGAAATATCATTAATGAATGACTAGTATGTTATTTAATTTCACATGAAATTAATACTGATATGTTATTGGTTACATTGCAGGACCACCTATTACAACAGCGAAAAAAACCCAGTTCGGTAAGCAAGGTGATACTGTGGAAGTAGAGTGTATGATAACATCTGTACCCAAACCTTCTCGCGTCGTCTGGACCAGAAATTCACAGGTACGGATGAATCTGTCATAAGGACAACAATCATTACTCAACAGGTTTTCTGATATTTCTTATACAATATAATAATAGGAATAGGTGCACAACTCTATATCAAATAGTAATAAACAAATGATATCCAAATAAATTAAATATTGTTGATCAAAAACTACTTTATTCCCTGAAGTAATGTAGTTTCGCTTATATTTTCGTAACATTCCAAAATATCTTTTTTTTTTTTACTGATGCTAGCTTCTGTCTCTTAACACAGATAAGTCGTTCCTAAAATTCGAAAAGGCTATTAAAAAGCTTAGATTCATTGAAATATATACATAAATATGCGTGTGTATGCGTATATCTGTCTTTTAATTTTAGGATGAAATATTTATGTAAACATTATTTTCCTAAATGTTACAGAACGGTATTTTCTAAAAAATACTAACAGAATAAATGTGTTTTTATAACCAGAAACGAATAGCAATATCAAATATAGAAAGTCATGGGCGCTAGACAAGAGAAATAATTAAAATAAAAATCTTCAAAATAAAGGGCTCGGTTGGAGCTTGGTCCAACTAACACAATAAGGACCTTTAACAACGACGAAATATTTGCAAAGGACAAAGAGCAAAATATTTGAATTTGAAAGAAATAGGAACATGACATGTTACTATTACATAACAGTGGTTAATTACACAAGCCTTTGATGATTTTATTGTAAGCAAAGTAAATATATTTTATGTACGTCCTGATTACACTCTGAACAGGAAACATGTTTTTTATGTACGTCCTGATTACACTCAGAACAGGGAAGATGTTTTTATGTACGTCCTGAATACACACCGAACAGGGAAGATGTTTTTATGTACGTCCTGATTACACTCCGAAAAGGGAAGATAGTTTTATCTACGTCCTAATTACACTACGAAAAGGGAAGATGTTTTTATGTACGTCCTGATTACACTCAGAAAAGGGAAGATGTTTTTATGTACGTCCTGATTACACTCTGAACAGGAAAGACGTTTTTATGTACGTCCTGATTACACTCCGAACAGGGAAGATAGTTTTATCTACGTCCTGATTACACTCAGAAAAGGGAAGATGTTTATCTTTTTATTTATGAATCATATGCAAAGAAGTATAAAACTATAATTAAATATACTGATGAACTACATTTGGTTGGGAATCATATAATAGATACGAAAACTAACAACATTATCCACTTGAACTAATGTACCACATTTTGGTAAAATGCATACTTTTGGCAGACAACAAATATGCATGTAACATCTATGATAATATAAAAGTTTATGAATTTGTGGTACTTCTGTTATCGTTTTAAAATATTTTCAACTAGATTTAGCTAAATAATTTCTACTATTTAAAGTTCAATTCTATCTCTTAGAATAATTGAGATTTGGATTGCTTCTTACTTCACACTTAAACCACGATTATGACGTTCCATTAATTTTCTGATTCTAACTTGTTATTACATGGCTTATGATTACTTTTCACAGCTTAATTGTAGTTATGTTATCTTCACGTGGTTAATTACACAGGCCTTTGATGGTTTTATTGTATTGAAATTTTTTACATGTTCTACAGTAATTCCTGTACACTGAATCCGAAAATGATATCCATTTTTCTCCATCACATACAGATTTTTTTACAAACCGTCATATCACAATACATAAAAGAAAGACCACAGACTAAAAGACGTATAATTCACAAAAAAATTAGGATGAATATTCGTTTGACATCAATGTTCTTCCCTTTTCTTCAGTTTGT